AAATATATAGCTAAAATTAATATTTAAAATTTTATTAAAAAATTTAAAAATTAAAAAAATTAGTAAAAATCTTCACAAGCAAATTTGCCTGTATTACAATTTAAGAGATATATTTTAAAAAGTTATTATAATTTTTTAAAAAATAAAGCTATTAAGTTGTAGCAAATTAATTAAGCTACAAAAAGTGGTTTCCTTTTTTAAATATCTTTTTTAGATCAAACATTATCTGTTTCAAATCAGGTTCATATTAAGATTATGTAATGTTGATTGATGTCTAATAGAAATGTTAAGTGGTTCAAGTGAACCGAGTTCAAACCTAGTTCAAACTAGTTTTTTTAGTAGTTTGTTCAGAAAAAATTAACTAGAACTAGTTTTATAGCCTAGTTTATAAACTTGGTTTATAAATCTAGTTTATAAACTTAATCTATAAAGCTAGTTTAGAAACCCAGTTTATGAACTAGTAGTTTAACCATAATATATATATAGGGTATTGTTATTTATACCCCCTATTTTTGTTATTCATACCCCCATGTAAAAATATGCACTTAGTTACATAACTCAACATTCGAAACAAAAATTCTGATTGGATGATACGGTTATAACCCAAATCACATGGTCAATCATTTGATAATCTATAAGATCTTATTTGAACTTCCAAAGATTTAATTTCGCGTATTGTATATAGAATACTTTATACTGTGATTTTATAACAGCCGAATATATGTAATCTTTTTTTGTTAATTAGAGAACTTAATAGCCAAATTCTTTTATTAGCTGTCACGCTAGATACTTACAAATATTAATAAACTAGTGCAAAGCAACAAGTGCTGTTATTATATATTGGATTATTGGCACTTTCACGTTATTTTAGTAGCATGTAAGTATAATATGTTTAATCTGTATAAAATAAGTTAATCAAGTCACAAACACTGTATTTATTCTAACCTTTTTAACATTTATTTTAAGCATTATTATTGATTAGATAATGTAGCAGTTATATCGTCTTTCGTGAAAAAAAAGTGATAGAGTATGATTGAATATTTTAATTCTTTCATTTACTGTAAATTTATTAATGAAAAGTTATACATATTAAGATGAAAAAAAACAAACTAATCTATTTAATTCGTATTACTCCTATTTAGACAAGTACGGGCATTATGTCCAGGCTGTTGGCATAGAGAACATTGCTTTATATTCTGCTCTATCAACTCGAATCCAGAAGGATTTCTTCTAGTTGAGTTGGATGATTAATTATTAGTGGCACTAGTAGAACGTCCCTTAGCATATACAACATTGGGGTTTTGCAAGACTATTGATGGAGAGTTGATCATGTCATTTAATGTTTCTCGTACCACAGCCTGTTGATGTTCTGGCCATTCATTATATCTTTGTTCTAGATTACTTAAAAGCGGTTGTAGTATACTAATATTTTCTTCAAGTTGTGGTATTGGTAGTCATCCTTGAATCCACTAATGTATATGAATATCTTCAAGTATTAAGCCCTGACTGTTATCTAAATGTTGAATACAATGGGCACAAGGTAACCCCATTGTTCTCAAAAAGGAACCTGAACATGGTGGTAAGGGATTTTGCATAGTTGTACAAGATGCCTTTTTATACTCCTCATTTATTTTTTTAAGGGCAAAGCTTAAAACTTTACCCTTAATGTTTATATAAAATTGGTTGCTATGTGCAAAAACTGGAAAACGAATACATTCTAATGCAAGCATAGAATCAATTTTATTTTTTTAATTAACTACCATCAGAAAAATTTTCATAAAAATTTGGTGGAGGTCTCCTGTAGACACTTGTAAATATCTTTTGAGATTTGCATGTGCATCTTCTATATGGGAAGTTACTGTTGTTCCCAGATGAAGAAATGAATTCGTCTATGCTTTTATAAATTTTTCCTTTCATGGTAACCAAGTCTTTCCAAGATAATTTATAATGCAAGGTTTATTAGTGTAAGTAAAATAAAATGTTTGCCATACTTCATTAAATTCATCTTTACTTTTAGAATTAACAATTTTATTCCATTTTGAAAGAAAGGAATCTCATTCACTACTTGATCTATTTTTAGTTTCTTTTGGAAATTTTGGCTTACAATTTTTTAGAATGTTTTTACTAATATGCTATCTCTTAATATGTAGACCAACGCAGGCAAATTTGCCTGCATTTTTGCACTTTTTTAGCTCTGATTTACTTTTTT